AATTGAATCTCTGAGACTGTTATAAAAAATGTCAAAAACTTCTCTGTTTTTGTCTTTTTGTTTTGTTTCTTTTTTTTTTTTTAATCTTTATTTTTCAGCATATTTCTTTGGAGCAAATCTGATTTTAACAGTTTCTTCAATCTTTCTGCAGCTATGGTTTTTAACCAAATTAAATGCCACTGGTCCAGTTATCGGTTTAGCCAAATATATTAGTTTAGGAAAAATTTTTGTCATTACATTTCTTGGAATTGATTTAAATGCAAAAAAAGATAAGACAGTGGAATCAGAAGATTCAGGTTATTTTTTTGTTATTTATCTTTTTTTTTTTCTACAAGTACAACTACCATTTGTAAATGATATCAAATTTGACAGATTACAGTATTTGAAAGCAAATATGAGTCGTTTACTATGTCGCTTAAAACCGTTGGTTTTGCTAATTAACTTCCGTAATTTTTTGTCAATAAACTTTTGTTCTTTTCATTCAATGTGTTTTTTGCTCAAAGTGAAAAAAAAATAATTAATTTTTTAAAAATTATATAATAAAGATTTTCAATTCTTATTAGCCTTTAACTGATGAAGCAATATTGCAGGTAAAGGTTACGAGATAAATTGGTTGTTTGCAGTTGATGCAGTTCGTAATTTCTGTGCTCTGCTCTGTTGTATTATTGTTTTTGTTTTTATGATATATTTGTCCATATAAATAAATTAATTGTTATTACTATTTTTTGTAAAAATGATATTTATTTCAGATAGTCTATAAACAAGAAAAAAAAAGCATTAAACTGTCTGTAAAAAAAGTTTAGCCTCCTTTGTATGATCCCTGCATAAATTTTAGTCTAAACAACAACAAACCAACTTATTAGTATTGGACTTATGTACAGCATTTCTTCTTCCCAATATTTTTCTTCTTCTTTCTTGCCACTAAAATCAAGTATCACTAAGTAAGTATAGCAGATGAACAACAGCGTAAAGAATAGACCACTGTTGTCTTCCGATAAAAAACTAAAGAAAAAAGGAGAAGAGAGGATCAAAAAAGTCTTCTTATTTCTGCTATTAATTCAACTTTAATTAATTTTATTATTATCATAACAATAGCACTAATATCGATATGAATAATACAATAAGAAAAATAAATGCAAAACAAATTCGCAACAAATCCACTAAAGCATGCCATGTGTAGAGCGACGATGACGACGTTAATGATGACAACGAAGTACTTAGGATCACCGCACTGTCACCTGAAAATGGAGGACATTAGCAACGTGAAATGTGTCTGTTTATCATATCAGGTGATACCGCCACTAACCAGATTCAAAAGTTGATTGACAATTCCAGTATGAAGTTGACAGTTTAACGAACGCTTCTTTACCGTCTAACAACTTCGTTGCAAATGGGCCAAGTTTAGTGCTTTTTTTCAGCGCACATGTAAACCATAGTTGTCCGAACAATGAAATAGCTGTTAAAAAGATGTCCAATCCAATAAAATAACCTAAGGTTATCAGATTCATTTGTTAGATCGTAGTAACAATTAGACCTAATAATTGTTTTAAAAAAGACAAAAAAAAGTTGTTAATACCGTAACTAGAATTTTACTGGATAATCAGCTACCAACCAAGAATCACTGGTCACCAAAGTTATATGGTATTATGTATAATAGGTGTTGCGTAGAGGTTAAACTAACCAATCTTTGGTAGACCACCGACTGCAGGCGGTAGTATTTTGAACAAATCTTGCAAATAGAGACCAAGAAATAGAAAATTTGATAACAGCACATATATTGCGGATATTGGATTGGTTAGCAGATACGAAAATGATAAGATTGAAAATGAAACTATAGTTGGTAGTACTACAGCTGCACCGTAATACGGATTGTTACGTTCAACTTCAATTAGTGCTATCAATATTGTCCTGTAACAGTTAATATATCTGTCTGCCGTACTTCATACATATCAGTTCAATTTCGGTACTCAAATAATAGCGGATTTTTTTTTTTTTTTTGTAAATTCTAAAAAAATGAATGCTTCAAATAAAGTGATAAAAAATATCCAGCATTTGAAAAGGTCAATCCGTCCGGTCAGAAACTTAAAACTGTTTATCAATAAGAGCTTAGATTTGATAGTAAAAGAGCAAGTTACTGTTCATTTGAGCAAAACACTAAAACAGTTGATGAATTTAGAAAGTCTACTTTGATTTTTTCTTTCAACTAGATGTTACAAAGATACTTCAACGGCATATTCAAGAGAAAAAAGATTGAGCTCTTTAAAATTTATGCCAATTTTTTCACTAATTTAAAACTGACCAAAAATTCTCCGTATTGAAACTGGTACCAGGCAGTGTTCTATGGAATACATAATTGATACTGTCCAAATAGATGATTTGTGCACTGATGTTCCTAAGAATCCATTCGTCAACTTGCCACTTATTCATCCGATCCTTTTCCTTTCTTTGCCAGGCTAAAGACCAAAAAAACTAATAACATATAGAATTAAATGGTATTATTCGTCTATGAAATTAACTGTACAAAAAAGTTTGGTAAACAATGAAGCGAAACAAAAACTATAGCTTTAGTAATCTTCTTACACAGTGCAACATATGGTGGTGCTGAAATGGCTTTCAATTGAACTTTGCTCATCGGTCGTACGTCGATGATTGCAAGTTGGCACCGCTGCTTATCGTACGGATATGCGGTATAGTCAAATTTACAAGTAAATTTGATAGAATACGGTGCTTCCATGACAATGGTACTTCGCTGTAACAATGAGCATATTTTCGAGCCGTACAAATACAGAAGTAGATCAATGTCCTTCTTGCACTGATTTAAAAATTATGTGTCAAGACAGATAACTAACGTCTGGTTCCCGCAAATATACAGTCAATGAGGTGTGACGGTCTATTTCGAGATGTCCTGACATTCCAGAAGCACTAAAATTTTTGACTGTTTAGTGAATTTAATCAAAAATAAACAGTGATTCTGAAAAACCTATTGCTTTGTATTGTTTAGCCTTTATTTATTCAATTTGATCATATACTCATGAAAGTGCAACAGCAAAATGGTTCTTTTTACATTTTTATGATAAGCTGTACACCTGAAAGAAAAAGAAAAGAGCAGTCTTTGAATAATAGGCTTCTGAACTGCGGACTCATTAACCGTTTAAGATTACTTGAGTAACTGATTTTTCTTGATCATTAATTCTACCTCTGCATTGTTTGTTACAGTTCAAGAGTTTAAAAAAAAGGTAACTAACTGGTATGAACCTGTTCAAAATATGTAACTGCGGTGTCCAAACTTCCCACTGTTTCATAATAACCGTCTTAATGCCGTCATAATCGGCTGGATTCCAGACAAGATTTCGATCTTCCCAAGCCTAGAAAATTTGTTTCTTTAATAGAGCAGCTATATCTCAGGAAAATCTATGAGCTTTTTTTGAGGGGAGGAGGGTTGATAGATTGATGGGCTGCTAAACGTACTGTTGAGATGACACCGCTAAGTTGCATTGTTTCTTCCTTCTGATTGACCATCAGATGTTCAACGTTTAGGAACGTTCTAATTTCTACCGGTTTGCTGTGATTCCATGGATGTTTTCGGCTATTATTTTTGCCGGCACTTAAATTGATCAATTTTTCATGAAGTTTGCTCAGCTTTTCAGTGTATGTTTCCTCGTAAACTAAAAACTGTGTTAATTGTTAATTACGTAATTTCCAGTTAGGATAAGTTGTCGTCTTTTTTCACCTGCATTATTACAGCTGATAATAGTCATTATAGACCTGCAAATTAACTGATACTTTAATTATCAATATTATCAAAGTAAAAATAAATTAATCGTTAAAAAACTTTTTTAACGCCTCAGTTTT